ATGTTTTGATGCTTCGGAATATGATATACTACTTTGGGCCATGGACACCTTAATTTCTTTTTGACGGGCAAATTCAGGACAAGATTTGCTATTTGCAAAATGGAATCCAGAGCATAGGCAACAAGAAGCATAATCTACGTGTACTGAGCAGGTTTCAGCAGTATGGTCTTCACCACATTTTAGGCAACGGGGTTTGGATCTACACTGCATTTTGGAGTGTCCATAGCGGCAATAACGGTAACATTGTATTGTAGGATATATATACAGTTCAACAGATAAAACAGTATAGCACATATAAATGCGCTTTGGTAAAACTTGTCCATGAAAGGTAAAAATTACAGTTTCCGAGTTATTAAATATCGCAGTCCCACTTACAATAGTTTTCCGCTTGATACGTCTGACTTTAATAATTTTACCGCACCCAATAGGCACTGAAACATTTTCAAGAACTTCATCATCTGTCCAATCGGCAGGGACACCACGCACTTCTCCCATACTTTGTTCTTTCTGGACATGTACTACGTATGGGGCTAAATCAGTCACTTCATACTTCCTACCACCCTGCAACATTGAATTTGAAACAGAATCACCAACATTTGTTACAACATTGTTAGTACTATTATTAGCACCAACAATGCTAGCATTGGCCTCAGCAGCAATGGGTAATTTAAATTTCTTGGAACATTCTTCCTCAGATTCAGAACATTGACAATAGTGTAAAGAGACTGGTTTGCCATCTCTTTTCCTACGTTTTTTATTGCAATGACGGCAGATTTTTCGGGGTTTAACTCTTTTACGGTCAGGCATAGGAAGGCTGCCTTCAGTGTCCATTGATGAGTCGTCAATAACAACATTATAGGCTAAAAATAACAATAATAACGCACACACTCAACATAGCCCCGCACTAGGAAAACCCTGTGACGCGCGTGCCATAGACACACACATAGACAACCACAAATTACACCCAAACTCACGAGAGAAATAAATGTAGGCCATACAAATATTTCTCCCGGCCCGGGAATCGAACCCGAGGACCTCTGCGTAGCAGTCCGGTATGGTGATTGTTCGGCCACTGAGGCAGTTCATTGAATAAAGTGTTTGTCTATCTATCTATCTACCTATCTAACGTGATTATGTGATATAAATCAAAGATAGATTAATGGTGAGATTAACTAAATTCCTGTAACACTCTAGTTAGAGACTTCCTGGGATTGAGAAGCTATAAGGAAGTAGCAACTTTGACAGTTGGAAGTTTGATATTGAGTGCATATTAGTCCATGATGATCTATGGCAATATGTTGAGTCCGCCCGCTGCTGATGATCCAGTTGCTAAACGAGGTGACCAAAAAGCACGTACAAAAATTTGCCTACTTACTGAGATCCCTTGCAAGGTACATGTTCGCAAAGCAACAACGACGTATGAGACGTGAAAGAATCTGAATGCAGCGATATCGAGAGCTACTAAAGAGCCTATAGAATTGGTACATTCTGATATTAATGGACCAATGAGTGATAAGTCTTTCGGAGGTTTTCGTTTTTATATTACATTTATCGATGACTGTTCGCGAAAAACTTTTGTATATTTTCTCAAGGCGAAGGGTGAGGCTTTTGAAAAAATAAAGGAGTTTAAGAAATTTGCAGAGACTCAAACCGGAAAGAAGCTAAAGGTGTTGAGGACTGATAATGGAGGCGAATACGTTAATATGAAAATCGATAAGTTCTTGAGAGAACATGGTATTAAGCGTCAACTTACGATTGTATATACACCGGAGCAGCACGGTGTTGCTGATCATGCCAACCGCACCATCGCTGAAAAGGCCCGATCTATGCTGCAGGAAGCAGGACTTCCCGTTCAATTTTGGGCGTAGACGGTAAACACCGCAGTATATTTAAAGAATAGAAGTCCTACATTGGCAGTTAAAAAGATAACACTTGAGAGGTATGGACCGGTCGGAGGACAGATCTAGGTCATCTTAGAGTATTTGGATGTAAAGCATATTTTCACATTCCAGATCAAAAGAGAACCAAATGAGATTCGAAAAGTAAGGAAACTGTTTTTGTAGGCTATTGCGAAGAATCGAAAGGATATAGATTGATTGGTCCTATAACGAGATAACTTCATAGAGCACGTGATGTTATTTTTTTCGAAAACCAAATGTATCGACGTCACAAAATCACCAGAGAAAACCGTACCAGTAACCATTACTTTAGGGAATGATGATAGGCATTACGAACCGTTACAAAACAAAGAAAGTGTGAAAGCGAGATCAGAAAAATTATGAAGAATATCTTCAATCAAGTGATAGAGATCATGTTGATGAAGTTACTGAAAGAGTAGATAACGAAGAAGAACAATGGTTGTCATCTGAAGAGAGAACATATGATCCGGCCACATCTGAACTTATGGTGGTAGAGCGGAGATACCCACAGAGAGAAAGAAAACCCACTCAATTTCCTGACTTTATCGCCTACCAAGCAGTATCTGAAACAGATGATCCTACGACAGTGCAAGAGGCATTGTCACGAAGCGATGCAAAGCAATGGAGAGAGGCAATGCAGGAGGAGCTGGTTCTTTAAACAAAAATAAAACGTGGGTTTTAGTAAAGCCTGAAGAAGCAACCAACATTGTTGATTCGAAATGGATATTTCGAATCAAAAAGGAAGCGGGGAATAAAACCACAAGCCTTGTTTGGTTGCACGAGGCTTTAGCCAAAGATGAGTTAAAACCGCGTTCTTAAATGGTGATCTAAATGAGAAAGCTTACATACAGCAGCCATCGCTGTTTACAGAAAAAAGAAAGGAAGATCACGTGTGCTTGTTAAAGAAATCTCGTCAATTAAACGATTTGAAAAAGGGAAAGAGTGTACAAATCAAAACTTAGCCTACAAAGAGCTGATGGACTCACTGATGTATATAGCTGTATGTTCAAGACCAGATATAGCTCATGCAGTAAACTACATGAGTCAGTTCTGCAATTGTTATGATGAAATGCACTGGATCGCAGCGAAAAGGATCTTGAGGTACTTAAAGGGTACCAAGAGCATGGGACCTGTATACTCTAAAGACGTGTCTTGTAGAAATATTCAAGGTTTTGCAGATGCTGATTACGCTGGAAATATAATAGACAGGAGGTCATACTCCGGCAACGTGTTTAAGATGGCAAATGGAGCCATCTCTTGGCAGAGTACCAAGCAAAGATTTACAGCCTTATCGACAGCTGAAGCCGAGTACATCTACTTGTCAGAAACTTCAAAAGAAGCCATATTTCTAAAGCGACTTCTGAATGAAATCACGGGCAAGGAGTTGCCTATCACAATACATACAGATAGTCAATGTGCTATGGCAATAGCCCTAAATCCGGTGCAACATCAGCAGACAAAACATGTTGATGTTTGCTATCATTTTATTAGAGAAGCATTAGAAAGGGGTACTATAAAGCTCAACGCTGACGACATTCGTCACTGAGATTCACACTACCACGTTTGAATTCTGCAAACCAGCTATAAATAGTCGTCTTGCATGGTGCTTCATCGCCAAAAGAGTTTGAAGCCGAGCGAAGCTCCGCTGAGCTGTTCAATTACACTTAAAGTCGTAGAAAATCATACCACGAAAATTTTCACGAGTTAAATCCATAGTGATGTAGACAACCAATTTCTAAAATGACGCCACAATGTAAAAACAAGTGACCGTCATATGAAACAAAGTGTATTCTACTACCAAAGAGTTCCATTTTCAAATGTTGTAATTACTTTTTAAGTATTGTTTATGTGAGTGGCCAGTTTCGGAAACTTATAGTGCGCCCTTATATACTATATATATATGTATATATATATATATATATGTATTCGATAATATATTCGATTTCAATATAATATAATATTATATAAATATTATATATATATATATGTGTGTGTGTGTGTGTGTATATAATATATAAGAAAGACCTAAACGTTTTCAAAGCTGCTCCCTTTGATTTGTTCAAATCTATTATATCTAGTGATTGCAAGCTATGGGTTTTTAATATTTTAGCAATAAAACAGTCCATAGGACAAGCAAAGTTCAATTCATCAATATCTATATCCTTCAGTTATAATGTCCTTACAAATATTTTTGAGAATGTTTACTTTTCGACGCTGAAGCTAATCACGATCTCTCATTAAATTTTTGGCATTTTTGGCGCGCACACTGACTGTTGCCACTGACAGGTGAGGGTCTCGGTGGTACCTTATTATAAACATAATTCCTACTACATTTTCATTCAAACTGACTGCGCAAACGCATTCGTTCTAAGTTGCCCCCGTTCAAGGTTGCCTCTTTATCCCCTATGTATATAATAAGAAAATTCGATGACGTTACAATAATATGGTGGTAACTTTTATCTGATGGTGCAAGCTGTAACCAGTACAGTCCGCAGACTACCCTTTTTTTCAGTTCTTTCTTTCTTTTCCAATTCTTTCCAGTAGAATTATCGTAATTGGGCTTATTGAATTGATCTCAACGAATGTTTAGCTTACGGATGGTGCCTTTATTGATTTTTTAAGTAGCTACACTGTACATTTTTTCACACTAAGGATTTTTGAATTTATTTTTCGCGCTTATTTAATATGATATTATGGACACTTATTTTTTGCACATATTATAGTCGAGCCCGCTATTTATTTGGTCTGTGGTCGAGGCAATAGTAATTTGTGAAAAATATTGGACTACTGGAATAAAACAGGAGTTTTAATTTTAATATTTAAATATAATTTAATCTAGAACATGATATTTTTATGTAAAATGACAGACTTGTTTATTTATTTTAATATAGGTACTATAAAACACGATAGTAAAAAACATAACAAACCTCCTCTATTGTCCCGTATGCCATTGAAGATGTTCATTCATACCGTAAACAAAAACAAACCCAGAATTAGTTGCGACGACATAGAAGCTAGAAATTGCGCATAAACTGCTCGCGCTCAGGGCGCAACTGATTGAATATCAATGCGTCTCTCCCAATATGTAAATAAAAGTAACAAAAACTTTTAAAGTTATTTATTTATGTATGTATGAGTTCTTATCATAATAAAGTCTATCTATACTTATGTTTAACATTTATCTACATTGGCAGTGCTTTAATTTACAATAACTTTAATTAGACTGTTATTACAGTGAGGCCATTTTGAAATCTTCCTACTGATCTAATTTTCGAAATGGTTTTTATAAGTATTCTATAATTATAAAAAGTAAGTAGGTTATTTATTATTGGTGATCACTGTAATCAACCAAATAGTACAAACAATCGTCAATAGAAAAATAAAGATCCAGACGTATGTATAGATACAAGTTTAAGCACATCACCATTATCACAAGTAGGCATAAAAGGTAAGTAAATAAATGTACATTATGTCGAACTTTCACATAATTGAAAATCAGATTTCGATAAAGAATATATATACTTATTTAATTATGCGGAGTTGTAATATTTGTCTCATGACTAGGAAATGTAAATAACCCATCACTAATAAAGTTTCCGAGAAATACCAGGTATTTACTATACTTATATTTAAAAAGTTAATTTTCTGTTATGTTCCGTAATTATTGTAGAGTTAAGATATAATGTACATAGCATTTATTACTTAAATATTTTCAAGACGCCGATATCGTAAATCTTTGAAAAATCTAAATAAACCTGTAATAAATAACAAAGCCTTAAATTAAATTACTTTGGTATTAATGGAAATTTATTATGATAAAAATTAGATACTACTTACTGCAACTGTTCATCGAATTAATCCAAGGACACATAATATTTTATTAATCCACCAAGCTACAACACCGGTTCTGTTGTTAAAGAGGTACTTTTTATGTGGTCTTGTAAAACGTTCACATCTTATGTGTCATTTGACTAAAGTTGATAGCTGCGAGTCTAACAAGCATTTAAGTAACTTATTCCAAGTATGTAAATGATAAAGGTTGTTTGCCACAATAAACTCATCTCATTAAAGGTTTTTTTAAATACCGTTAAAATTTGAATTCTACCTACTGATGTTCAGGCAAGCTATGTGTTTTTAATGCAGACTGCACACCTCGATACGCGTTCGAGTAGCCGCCCTGATTTTAAAGTTTCTCTTTGAGGAGTTGTAAACTGCTGACTTTCTTCGATGATTGTAAGCCAGAAACTAAGTTTGTTGGCGAAATGGTGGCAAGTACCACCCTCACCATTACATTCTATGAAAGGTGCCGCTCGGAAATCTTCCAGGCAAGAACCGGGGCTCGCCAATTCTTGTCCACCGCCCTGGGCACCTGCGCCCGTGTGCTGAAAACAAATCAAAGAAAGTTACAATATCTACCGTGGTTAAATTAGGTTAGGTCAGTGATAATGGTAAGGCTTAATCTACCAATTAGAATAGAATATAAAAACATTTATTGCAACGCTACACACAGATAAAAAGAGATAATAATACTTAGACAAATAAAGCAAAACAAAAAAAATACAAAATAAAAAATACAAAAACAAAAAACAACAAAGTAAAATAAAACAGACAAAAACAATAAACCAAATACCACGACTAAAATTTGTACTGTCATTTGTGCGGTTGTGGCGTATGCAAAAGGATCTTATTGAGCTTATGTCACAGCCATAATTAGGCTGTGGCGCTGGTTTTCAATGAGCCCTAAGCCGAAATGGGTCATGGATGTGTGTGTCGCAAAATAAAATAAACTAGGTAAATACGCGTACGTGTTAATTATATACTGTGTTGCTGCTGTGTGTTATATGTACAGATTGAAAACGTACATAATTATTGCAAAAATATATATATATACCTACTTTGTGCGTTTATAGTGTGGTGTCGTAATTAATTAGCAAAAAAAATACAAGTCGATCGTTCCGAGTCGGGTTGTGATGAAAATAGAGGTGGTCTTTATTACAACAACAGATCACGCAATGCAATAATCTTACGCATTCTATAACTCATTATCGAACACCTGTCTGAACTGCTATTGTTATAGTTAGTTATCCTGCGATAGCGATTGCGTCGCGTCGCGCAAATAAGGAAGTATGCAATTACTAGTAGGCAGTGAGAGAGAAATGGCGCTAAACAGATGATTGGACTATGCTACAATTTGCAAATCTTCTTACATTGCACAACATAAAGTTCTATGATCAAATACCCTTCCCCGTTTTAAGAAGTCAAAATACTTTGTAAGTGGCTGAAGCGCTAACCGCGAAAAGCCAAGAAGAAAAAATATCAATTTCTCTTTCCCATGATAAATTAAAATGTTATCTATCATCTTATTATAAGTCATATATTTAAAACTACGATTTTATGCTTTATACAATTGGAAGAATGTACAATTTTAATATTCGATATCGACAGGCAGTTAATATCAATCAATTTAGATTCAACTGGTGCCGAAAACAGCCATTTTTTTGTTTAACGGCTACAATAGCTATATAACTGTAGCAGGTTTGATTTTTGCGTGGATCGCGGATAGCCATCCATTATCCGCGATTAAATCGCAAATTATACAGTGATGTCGAGGTGTTGCCAGTCTTGAGTCGAAAATTACAAAAGTAAAATTTTTTACTGCAAAATTTACATTTTACAAGTTCGTTTCTTTCAATTAAAAATTCTAACTTTAATATATACACCTAAATCCTAAAAAAAAAAACCAAGCCATAACCAGTATTTGATTGATTTCATCTTGTTTGCACCATGTCGAAGTTAAGTACTTTTTTGTCTAATTTGGGTGCGTTTGTCAACTTTTCAGAATTACAATAACAAATATAGTTTGGTTCCCTTAAGAGTTACGAAAATGACCTTAAAAACAAAAATCATTTACGTATTACTCGAGAGTCGTCTCTCGAGTTATACGTAAATTTACATTTCTTATTTCTTTTTCGTAACTTTTGGTCCTCTAAAAGTTACGAAAAATGTAAGAAGTGTAACCATCTGGCAACACTACACAGTATTTATTCACTAATCATTGTCTTAATGTATGCAAAACTCAGAAAAAATTAGGCTTCTGATAAAAAAGTCAACCTGTATATGTTTATTAAAAATAAATATTACGTTACGTTAGCATAATATACTAGATTTAAAAAAAACTGATATTTAATCTCAGTTCATAATAACTATAAATTAATTTTAAACTGTTTCAGCTTTATAATTTCAAAAATATAAAGTACAATTATTAATACAAAGATCGAACACTCAGAAAAATTCCTGACGTCTTCTTGCATACCGTGCCAGACGCTATACCAACTAAGCCACGGAACGAACCAACGGACCTCACGAATTTTTCTATGTTCTTGCGTCGTGTCTTTGTACTTGGTCTTTCAACGACTTTTTAGTCGTAGCGCCATCTATGAGAAATCTATACCACAGGCCTCTAAAAAACCAAATTTAAAATTATGCCTGTTCACGCCAGGTGCGCATAATATTTCGGCCATTCGTTTATGTCTATTAAACTTTATTCCGTGTGGGAGTGCGCTTGCATTCAGCCAAGTTTCGGAAATATTCACGTCTTAATTTTGGTAATTTATTTTGTTACTTTGGGTGTTGTTTTGTTTTATTAATTTGTTTTGTTATTTTATTTTAGGTTGTCGTATTTTTTTTCACTGTATCCTTATTTGTTGTTATACGAAGACCAAACATGGAATCAGTTAGTAGCAGGACTATGTACTGGTAAATCCAGCAAATATCATCGGATTGACCATAACATCGACAAAACAGTAGAATTGTATATAAAAACATTTGATTAAATTTGGCCAAGCACGGGAACAGCAAGGGACAGCAGAAGTCCCGATTTATTAGTCCCATACAATGAAATGATCCCTTCATGAAACTGAATCGATAAGCACTAAAAAAATTTTGATTAGTTTTTTTTTTCGTTTTTATGGACAACTCACGCTTGACCAAAAAATGGATTATGCCAAAATTGTTTTCACGAAAAACGACTTAATGGTTCCTAATACACTTTCCTTATATCTTGTACGGTTTCGGATTTTCCCATACTGTCCCATTTAAAAAAACACTTCGTATTAAGCTACAAATCCAGACTTACTTAGAAAAATATAACTCGTACTTCCCGATATGGTGGAAAAAAGATATTTATGCCGTTGTACGCGGATAGGTTCCAAAGCAAAAAATCAAATATGAGAAGACCTGAATTTGGAAAATATAAAAGAGTGTCAACGGCCTGCATAAACTATAATACATATTGGATGATTATTTGTGCACTATTTAAGGTAGGTTGGCCAAATTCTGTCGAAAGTAAAGTATTTAAAATTCAAATAAACGAAATGGCCGCTATACAAATTTCAAAGTCTGACGGAAACTATTTGAGATAGGTGGGAAGTGTTTGAAGGAATGTTATAGAGGGTAACAGTGCTGAACTGCCTGTGTCAAAAAAATTCAAGATGACGAATCCAACATTTCGATCCGGCTGAACATTGGCCCTTTTCGCCTTTTTTGAATATGCCTGCCATATAAGCGTTTTTTCTTTAAAAATGACTGCCGAAAAAGACTTGCCCTGATTCAGCTGAAAATTGGCATACGAAAGTCTCTACGAACGTCTGATAATAATTTGCAGTCAACATTTATTTTTCGCCATTTTGCAATATGGCTGCCACGTTAGCGTTTTTTGACAGCAGACAAAATCGTTCTAATCCGACTGAAAATATATCTTCAATCGTAATTTGGCGTAAAAAATAAAGTATCCGCTGATTTTCTATGTAATCGCCTTACAAGCGTTAATTTTTTTGATATAAAATGACTGTTGAAAAAAAGCATGCTTTGTGCGTGCTGAAAATTGGCACGAATAGATTTCTAAGATTTAATGATAATAATTTGTGGTCAAAATATCGTGCTGCAGTTTTGAAATATGGCCGCCATTAAAGAGCTATTTTAAGTTTTTTTTAATATGACTTTATTTTGAAAAACGTGTGTGCTAAGTGCCGAGGCCACATGCCGAGGTCCAGTGGAGGGTGAAGCCCGAAGCGTCCGCACACCACCTTAAATAGGTAGTGTACGGAGGTTCTGTTACGAGTACAAGATCTCACAATTGTTCAAAATGTAAGGCATACTTCCCAATGTAATGAAAATAAGATAGTTATACCGTAATTGTATCAGGACCGTCTCTCTGTTAGATTCCTTTTTCTTGGAAACCATGCCAAAACGAAGTATTTAGGGAAAACAATGTCAGACAATTACACCAAATTTCTGGTCTCAAATTAGGGAATTCCCTGTACTATGTATACTAGAATAACGATAGCTCCCAGAATACCCAGACCAGAACCAGCTTAGAAATGTTCCGTTTCCTAAAGTGGCCCAAATCGGAAATCGAACCTGGAACCTCCTTATCAAGCGCCCATAGTACTAACTGGTATGGCATCGAAGAGCATAAGCACACCCCGTAATCTAAATCCGACCACGCACCGCAAGCCGAGCCCGTCCTCACCGCACAGAGCCCGTAAGGGTATGTAGCTATTATTACTTTATTTTAAAAAACATTGTACCGTATAATGTCATGCTTATTAATAAAATTTTACGATAATGGAATATGAACAAATTGAAATAAATAGAGAAATAAGTGATTAAATTAATATGAATAGATTATAGAAAATAAAACATTTCAGAAACACTGGAGTACCTACACAAAGGCTACGATAAAAATGTTGGCCGCCGTACACTAATGCTATGAGTCGAAACCAGCGCGGTAAGTGCACAAGTAAAATTACACCGTCCTTTTTTGATTATCCAAGACTTAGACAGAGATATTTTCTATATTGGATTTTAAAAGGTGCACCGATTTCAGACTACGAAATGGCGGCGGCAGCAAGACGTTCCATATTTTCGCTGCGGCGAATTTGGAGTTGCCACGGAATGCAACGGTACGATGGAGTGGTACCGCCATAGACCAGTCCAACGTTCTGGTGAAGGCAGTTTTTACGTCGCGGAACCACACCAACTTTGTATTTGCTAACGCCAAACAAAAGTGTTGCAAAATGCAAATCTCTTCGCGTTCTCATCTTTAAAATGTTGCGTCGTTATTATAAGGGGTTACGTGTATACGTGGTAGTATATTGAAGCAGAACCTCGCATTTCAATTCAGAATTCAAGCAATACTGCGCTTGTACAATAAACAGTATATTATATTAACCTTAGAGCCAAGTCCAAACTCCTGTACCACGATTTAGTTTAACCATTGCAAACGACCATTTTATAAGGGACTATATACGTTGTTACAATATGATTCCGGAGCATATAATTAAATAAGATTATCATTTCCTAAATTTAAAAACTACATTAAAATTTTAACTCAAATGTCATATTACAAAATTTAAGACTTTGTAACAGACTAAGCATGGAAAGACGACGTGGCTCCAGGTTCCACACAAGTTAGATTCAAAGTTAATTCCATAGCATTTAAGTTTTCAAAAGTAACGTTTTCAACCATTCAGGTGTATAATTTACTCTACCTAAGCTATGGAATAAATGATTGTTTGACTAACATTAGAAACTGCATAGTAAATTAAACAACTATTTGTGTGTGTGTGTGTGTGTGTGTGTGTGAGCGCGCGCGCGCGCGCGCGCGTGTGCGTGTGTTTTTGTGTGTGTGTGTCTGCGTGTGTGTGTGTGTGTGTATGTATGTGTGTGTGTGCGCGCGCGCGCGTGTGCGTGTGTTTTTGTGTGTGTCTGTCTGCGTGTGTGTGTGTGTGTATGTGTGTGTGTCTGTGTGTGCATTCGCGCGTGTGTTTTGTGTTGATTTTGTTAGGTAAGTAAAACTTAGAAATTGTTACAATTGTACAAATTGATCTTAAGTGATGATATTTAGGAGAGCTTCGATATCCTCATAGTACATCTTTTGAAGATAATTAGTAACTTTCTTTTTGCACTCATATTTGCTGAGATTATATACTGGTATTTTCTTATTAATTTTATTGTATAAAAAGGGTCCAAGAAAGTAAAAAAATCTTTGGGCAAAACTAGTTAAGACAGCTTTATATGGAAAGATATTTGTATGTCTGGATTCTAAACGAGGTGGTTCATAAGGTAAAATAGTGTGTTGTTTTGGGATGATATTTTGAATAAATACCTAATTGTCTCACAGTCAGAACTTTACACTGTTGATACAAATCACGGGTAGGAAATCTAAAAGGTAGAGAGTTACAAAGTTTAAGGACAGTTCATTGAAAGCATTCTAGTCTTAGCATGCTGTATTTACACGCTCCTTCCCGGGTCGTGATACAGTATGTAATAATAGATTGGCATAGATAAATATAGATAGTATTTAAAATAATGTAGTCGGTGATATTGCGTAACGTTACCTTATGTAACGTTATTATAACTTTTACATACAGCTAGTACAACCAGTCTCACGAACAGCCTTGGGATACGATGATAAGATCGTGTATAAACTACCTACGTACGTACGTACTACAGATGAAACGGATATCCGGTAACAATCCGGCATCCAGCCTATCCAGAACAAAATTATTATAATATATTTTTTTATAATATTAAATGACGGGACGAACAAGTCGTGCGCCTGATGGTAAGCTACACGCCTATCCATAACAGTTGTAGTGCCTCTCAGAGCTTTAAATCGCAAAGATCGTGAGGGTCACTGCCACTGCGCCCGTCAATCTGAGACATAAGTTGACAAGTCCCATGTGCCTTTCTAATTTCGACAGCACCCTTACCCTTCAAAACCGGAATACAGTAATGCTGACATTATTGCTGAATATTATGAACTCTTTCACAAGGAGCTCTACTGCTACTCAATTATTAACAATCCGAATTATGGATACCAGATAATAGGACAATATCCGGCCGGATACCGGTTATTTAAAACAGAAAAAAATCACAATCAGTACGCCAATTAAATTGACTTTTTTATTAAAGAAGATTAGTAATAGGATACATTAAATAGCAACTACACGGTAGTTAACATTGACAATCTATTCATTACTTGTAACTGTACAGAAGTGTGAAGTTAGATAACGTAATCTGTAAATTTAGTACTCAAGTTTCAATAAAGGCAAATCATGGCGGATAAAGACCAGTATTTCTGAAATAAATGGTAAAACTCGATTCCGTTTATTTTTATAAATAAGATCAGCTTCAGAGAACAGCTGTTCGCTATAAACTCCTGCAAATTTTGTTAAATTTAGGTACTGCTTGATGTTACCAGACCGCTAAATAAAAGGATCGCGATCACGCTCGATTCGAAATGTCTTTAAATAATAATGGATTTAAAATAATTATGTTTTCATACGAACAATGTGTACCGATAATCATGAAACGTGTGAGTAAGTAGATTTAGATTTTTATTCTGTGATGCGCGCTGCAAACCGGTCGCGACATGTTTGCGACTGTGGGTCCAATATTCGACGGCCGGATATCCGGCTATCCGGGCTAGTTGCACGCCTGATGGCCGGTATCCGGTATTCGGCCAAATCACTATCCGTTTCATCTCTAGTACGTACATTTAAGCTATTTTATTTGTAGCTTGCCAAAGCATTTAGAAATGTTGTAAGTTTGGAAAGTAATTGACTCACCATTACAAAACTGAATCCGATCCATAATTCGGTCCATCCCGATGGGCAATTTGGAACATCAAGAGATTGACTATGAACTGCAATCACGTTAGCAGGCACTTCGCATACAACACATCTTGATATATACTGCTGTATCTCTCTTCCTTCCACTGGCATCATAGGTATGGGTTTATTCGTTGACAACCAGTAACTTCTGTCGTTACGACTGGCATAATTACAAACATCATTGAGATCGCAGAATAAGAACGGCATAGTGCTGAATTTTCTTACGCAGGAGCCGGCGTAACCTAAGTCTTGATTATGAGATTTTTCATTACCGTCAATGTATAACAGTGAGAATCCTTCCCATAATTTTATATGACCTCGTTCACATTGCGGGACTAGTTCAGTTTGACTGTGACGCACCAATAGTATACCGGTTAAGTAGTCTGTGTTAGTACATGGCGTTCCAGGATTTCCTGGGGGTCCTGGTGCTCCGGTAAGACCTATTTCTCCTCGTTCTCCAGACATTCCTTGAAGTCCTATAGGGCCTGGTGGTCCTGGAGGACCCATTGAACCTGGATAGCCACGATCCCCTTTTATTCCTGGGCTGCCATCTAAACCTTTGGGGCCAGGGATCCCATCTCTTCCTGGAGCGCCGTTAAAACCAGGTGGTCCACGAGGTCCTGGTTCACCTTTAGGTCCGTAGACAATATTACCTGGTGTTCCTTTGTCACCTTTTTGACCTTCTACACCCGGCATACCTATTCTGCCTGGGAATCCCATATCACCTTTTGGACCAACTGGACCCATAGGCCCGGGTAAACCATTGATGCCATCCAAACCTGGTTCCCCTTTTTCGCCGGGTCGTCCGGGTGGTCCAGGTAGTCCTTGTGGGCCTTGGTCACCTTTTTCACCTGGTGTTCCATACACAACAGGCCCTTGATCACCTTTGTCTCCCTTAGCACCATTTAAACCTGGTGGACCTGGTGGACCTGGAGTGCCATCTATACCAGGTGGTCCAGCTATCCCTTCACGACCTTCAGTGCCTTTTTCTCCGGGGGCACCTGGTGACCCTGGGGAGCCAGGGGAACCCATTTGTCCCGGCAGTCCTGGTAATCCTTGTTCACCTTTTTCACCACGTGCCCCTTGAGCTCCTGGACGACCATGTTTTCCGGGCGAACCAGGCAGTCCCTTTTCTCCTTTAATGGTTCTTCCCGGCAGTCCTTCAGGTCCAGCTAAGCCTTTATCTCCTGTAAAATAAAAATAAATATCAAGCTGAGTGTGATTCAATACTACAATAGTTGTTTGTTTTAAATATTAGGGAACAGTTTTTCGTTCTATGAGTAGAAATTATTCCATTGGTTGTATTATTTTCCATAATAATCATGCTCAAAATAAAAATACTTAAATTATAACAAAAACATGTAATTAAATACTACCATAAATTACCTTTCGCACCAGGAACGCCGAATCTACCAGTATCTCCTCTTTCACCCTGTCGTCCCTGATCTCCTTTATCACCTTGAAATCCTATAGCACCATCATAGCCCCTATCTCCTTTCTGACCTGGAAAACCAGGATGTCCCACAGGTCCAATATCTCCCTTGTCACCTTTTACATCCATGGTTGGACCTGGCGGTCCCCTGTCACCTTTTGGTCCCATAAACCCAACAGGTCCTATTCTTCCAATAGGCCCAACAGGTCCACGATCCCCTTTTGCTCCATCAAAACCGTCCCGTCCAGGTGAACCCAGATCACCTTTGTCACCCTTAGCACCTGTAGGTCCTGGGAATCCCATATCACCTGGTAGACCCGGAGTACCATCCATTCCAGGAGTACCGTCCGTACCGGACTTTCCGGGTAAACCTCTATCGCCTTTTGGTCCTCTTAATCCAGGACTGCCATAATCTCCTTTAGACCCCTTTTCTCCCGGAAGGCCGGGAATGCCCGGTAGTCCAACGTCACCTTTTAGTCCAGATGGACCAGGTCTTCCAAAGCCAGGTAAACCTGCGTCACCTTTGTCACCATTCGCACCATCTCGACCAGGAATTCCATCTAAACCTTTTAAACCAGGCGGTCCAGGCTCTCCTTTCTGTCCTTTGTCAGCTGCAAACCCTGGTTCTCCTTTCTGACCGAAATAACCTGGAGGTCCCTGGTCCCCTTTTTCACCAATAGGTCCTATCATCCCCGGTAAACCTGGAGGTCCTTCGTAACCTCTATCGCCTTTAGATCCATTTAATCCAGGTGTCCCTATTGGTCCGTCCAGCCCAGGAAGTCCTGCTTGACCTGGGTAGCCGAATTCTCCTTTTTCTCCTTTCTCTCCAGTGATGCCATTTATACCCGGCGGACCTTGTGGTCCTGGTGATCCTCTAGTTCCAGGGAATCCTTTTGGACCATCGGGACCTTGCAAACCAGGCGCTCCTTTTTGTCCAGGTAATCCAATTACTCCAGGATTGCCTTGTGGGCCTGGAAATCCTGGAAAACCTTTTGGACCATCTTTCCCAGGAATTCCATTCCTACCTGGTACCCCCGCGGGACCAACGGGACCAGCATCACCTTTTGATCCTGGAGGACCGGGAGCACCGATTCGTCCAGTAAAACCTTGATCTCCTTTTTCACCAGGTAGTCCCATTGGCCCAGGAGGACCATCGCTGCCTGGTATACCTGGAAAACCTCTCAAACCTGGTTCTCCTTTATGTCCAGTTGAACCAGGGGGTCCTGGAAGGCCAGGCATAGACGGACCAGTTTCACCTTTATCACCTTTAAGTCCAGGTGTTCCTGGAAATCCTCTCGGTCCTACTTCTCCAGGTGTGCCCGGGAATCCCGCGATTCCTATATCGCCTTTTAGTCCTCTTGGCCCTGAAAGTCCACGAGGGCCCACTGGGCCTTGTCTTCCGGAAAAACCCATGTCACCCTTTTCGCCTTGGCGACCCGGGTAACCTAAATCTCCTTTATCACCTTTGTCACCTGTAATTTGTTCTCGGTATTAGTAAGCACATAATTTAAAAAAATAAGAAAGTAAGATTTTCTTATGTTAATTGATTTTACAAAATTTAAATTTTGTAATCGTTGTATGTATGTTTTCACGTAATGTAATATACGGAGTGTTTTTTTTTATGGGAAATCTGAAACCACAGAAGATGCATAGGACCTATTTTAGGAACCATTAAGTCTTTTATTGTAAAATTAATTTTGGCTTTGACTATGCCAAAATTATCTTCACAATAAAAGTTCGTGAGTTTTCACAATAAATATTTTTTGGTCAAGCGTGAGTTGTCCATAAAAATTAATAAAATTGATCAACGTTCCTTTAGTGCTAATTGACTCAGTTTCACGAAGGGATCTTTTCATTGTATAGAATGAACAAAATCAGGACAGCAGAAGTTGGTCAAATTTCACAACATTTTTTTCATACAAAATAAATAAAATAGATTTTTTTTAAATGCTAATATACTCAGTTAACTCAGTTTCTTATAAGGATTACTTCATCGTATCGGGAAAAAAATTCGGACAGCAGAAGTTGGTCAAAAATAAAAAATAAATCATACAAAACGAGTAAAATTTATAAACTTTGACCAACTTCTGCTGTCCCGATTCTTTTATTCCCATAAAATGAAATCATTCTTATAAGAAACCGAGTCTATCAGCATTAAAAAAAAATAGTCAAAAACGTTACACTTGAAAAATTATTTTGTTAAATTTGACCAACTTCTGCTGTCCCGACTTTTTTCGTCCCATACAATAAAACCAACATTATAAGAAGCTAAATCTAGCAGCATTAAAAAAAAAGTCAATTTTATTCATATTGTATAAAAAACATTTTATGAAATTTGACCTACTTCTGCTGTCCCGATTTTCACGTTCCATACAATGATATAATTCTTTCATGAAAGTGAGTCGGTTAGCAGTAAAAAAATTTTGGTCAATTCAACTTCTCACGCTTGACGAAAAAATGGTTTATGCCAAAATTGTTTTTGCAAAAAAGACTTAATAGTTCCTAATAGGTTTCCTTGTATATTCTATGGTTTCGGATTTTCTTATACTGATCCCATTAAAAAACACTGTATATTATATTAAGAATATTAGAATTAAGGTTGAAATTATTATATTTCAATTTAAACCAAGGTATGTAAGAGTTTATTTAAATTATTTTCTTTTATAATTATGCCATTAATTCAGAATAAGTACGGATACGTAATAAGTACAAGTGTCTATAGAAATATTTAAAAAGATATTTTGTTAAATAATTCTGAGGACAGCATTTCCTTTGGTTTTCTAATATCGATATCAGTTACGATTCAACAAAGTACTAGCAGTATTGGGCAAAATTTAATTGTTCTGGCAATGAAAGATTGACAATTAATTAATTGTCCCACCTCCTAACCCAACCCCAACCCACCCCGTAACCCAACCCCAACCCCCCCTAACCCACCCCCTAACCCACCCACTAACCAACAACACTTGAGTACTAGTAATACAGTGAAACGGTAATATACAAATGTTACCTTGCGGTCCTTGTGGCCCTCGCTCCCCAGGAGCACCTCTGTCGCCCTTAGCCATTTCTTCAATATTTGCCGGTTGAGTACAATTTCCTGGTTCACCCTTTAACCCCGTTCTCCCATGGGCTCCTTTATCTCCTTTTTCTCCCAAATTTCCTGGTTGTCCTTTTTCTCCTCTTACGCTGGTTCCGGGCTGACCAGGCCTTCCTGGTATGCCGTCTCTGCCAGGTATTCCATCAGCTCCCGGCGGACCCATAAGACCTTGATTTCCTGTGGTCCCTGGCATACCCACCGGTCCACGCTCTCCTTTTTGGCCGTCACGTCCCTTTTCGCCTTTCAGACCACGCGATCCTTTTGGACCTGGTTCGCCTTTTGGACCTGGAGGCACTTTTATTAATTCAGTAGGGACTTCTTTGTCTCGTCCAGGCAATCCTGGCACTCCTATGGGACCTTCGTCACCGCGGTCACCCTAAAAGTTTGTCAACAAGCTAGCTTACAAATACATATTGAGGCAAATGATTTAAGTGGAATATTCATTTTTATTTCTTACTTTTTTATTTAAAAATAAGTACTCACTGTTGGCCCAGGAACTCCCTGTTCGCCATGAATTCCGTCCACGCCTCGTTCACCTGGTAGTCCGGCGGGTCCTGAAGGACCTCTTTCTCCACGTTCTCCACGAGCGCCTTCCAAGCCACGGTCCCCTTTAGGTCCCGGTCCGCCTGGCCAACACTCATTACATCGTCCGCCTATGTCACCTTTAGAACCTGGACTACCCGGTATACCATCAAATCCTGGGCTACCCTTGTCTCCTTTCTCTCCACGTGGACCCATTTCTCCAGGAGCTCCTCGTGTACCAACAGTAGAATTGCCAGGTGCCCCTGTAAGACCTTGATATCCTCTTTCTCCTTTTTGACCTTTCGTTCCCGGTATTCCTGATGACCCTGGGCGTCCTGGTTCACCCTAATGAAAAAATACTAGATATAAAAAAAGGATATCAACGACACTTGCCTTCAAATACTTTACACGCTAACATACTATCTATCTCGCACATCGACCTCAACCTCTAACATCCAAGTACGTGGTGAGATGTGCTTTAGCTTGCAACTTCTTTTGTGACAGCCTACCTGCAGGCCACTATAATGTCTAAGTCGATGTTAACGCGATACGTCTTCGGTATTCACCCCGATCCTCGAGTCAGGGAAACCAATGTTTGACAAGCTTATTCGAGTGTTCTATAAGTTTTTTGTTTTTATAATACTATATGTTACCGAAATGATACATCAAGATAAGGGAGCCAGTACAGAGTATGGTTACTAGCTATCTGGTACATCTGTTTTGTTAATAACACTACATTAAAACCAAATCTGAAATTATTAAAATCCAAACTTGCACAACACTAGCAACAATCGTACTCATCAGTGCCATTAAATTTTTATTTCATCATTTATTATATATATTGTCGGCGGACTAGAACACATAAGTAAAAAAGTGCTTTATATTTTTTGTGTTATTTATAATGTTGGAAGATGTGAAGAGAATGATAAATTTGTAAAAGACACCACTAGAATTTAAGTTACAAATTATTATATCTAGCTCATCTTCTACTAACTCTCCGGTCCAGTGCCGACAATGCCCCGCGCGTCTCCTCGCCTTAGGCCCTCGTCTACTGAGACGCGCTAGCTACGCACTAGACTGACGCCCCGGTCACCATATACCCCAGCGAGTCCATACCCAAGTTCGGACCCACCAAACGTGAAGGCGTATATCATTGGCGGAGGGCTTAGCCCGGATGCCTGCTGTACCCTGGTCTTGCCGGCAAGCCCGTAGTTTCTCCGAAATACCCTATCTTTCGAGTCGGTCGGGATAATGAATGAAGTAATCACTTTTTTTATAATATCAAGTGGCGGGACGAACAAGTCGTGCGCCTGATAGTAAGTTATACGTCTGTCCATAATAGTTGCAGTGCCACTCAGAGCTTTAAATCGCAAAAATCTGAGGGGCACTGTCACTGCGTTCGTCACCCTGAGACATAACTTGACAAGTCCCATGTGCCCGTAATTTCACCAGCATCCCTTACCCTTCAAAACCGAAAAACAGTAATGACATTACTGCTTGGCGGCGGAAATAGGTAAGGTGGCAGTACTTCCCTAAACGAACTCTTTCACAAGAAGGTCTACTGCTACTAAAATATAAAATACATTTGACTTATATGCTTTAAACGGTAGAGAATTAATTTAAATGAATGATTACTGGTTTAGGCTTATGTGCTTTAGTCGACCGGTCCTAGATATTTACATAAGTATGCTTGCGTATGATGTTCCGTAACATCACTAAAGATGGTTTTCCACCGGCGAGGCGAGATGAGACGAGAATAAAAATCTCGCCGGCCTGTTTCCACCAAAAATTAAAAAAAAAAAAACAAGTCCAGCAGCTTAATTTTGATTGCCTCTCCCGATCGGAAACTGCGTGTTTTTCGAGTCGAGGTGCATAATTGCAATTCACAACGGGCCGTTCAGCAACCTTTTGACATTTCTAATCGGAACAATAGTTGATTTAACTCACAAATTAGAAAGGTATAGTAGGAATCAGGTTCATCTTTTCGCTCAGAAACCCATCTGATTTCGAGACTACCCGATCGGATCGAGGCCGATTTGAATCAAAATCAGTGCCCAGGACCCCGATTCAGAACTCATCGATATTATAACCGAATCGTTCGATTGGATATCGTTCTCGAATCGGAGGGCGTTTTCCGAGCTATTCAGAACATTCGAGTTAAACGTTCGATCCGGATTCGAATACGATATCGTAATTCAACAGCGTTTACGGAGTTAGTCGGTGAAATAGATTATAAGAAAAATTAAAATCCTTTTATATACATTTTTAAGACTTTAAAGGCCAATATTTTAATATAGGAATGCATTCATAAAATAGAACAAAATCCAGACCTAATTTAAAATAATAAGAGATTTCCATATTACATTCTTGCTTTGTAAACAATAGCACGTTCGGTAACTTTCATTCGATAACTGTGTTCTGAATAACATTCGTCTTACCGGTCGAGAAATTCGAGTAATCGTACGGGTGTGACGTCATTTCGATTCGGTTTCGAATACGACAGTTTGACGTTTAATTCGGGTGTTGTGAATAGAAAATAAAACAAATCGTAAGATATCAAATCGAATCGGTCGACAACTGAGTTATCGTAAGGTTCTGAATCGACCCTCTGGACTTTGTAAGGACATGTAATTAATTGTAGCCTTAAACACATAACCTCCAAGTTGTCATGGAAAAATTAATGAATCTGGGAAGCTATACAAACTATTCATGAATCTGGGAAGCTTGTTTATGTCGCATTTTACGACGCGTTTGTACCGATTCAACAACAACAACATCGCGGTGTAAGACTGAAAAAACAGATGAGCGTTTACGGCGCTACTGAATTTGAAACGTGTGCAAAGGTTTACTGATGCGGCTGAATTCTTGTTTGAATCGCGTTTACGCACGTCATCTGCACGTCGTCGTAGGTGAGCGTAAAAACACTCCGTGTGGATAGGCTCTAAGTAAGTTATCGAAACGACTCAACTCCGCAGTGAATGCAATTATAAAAATACGAAATCTTTCAGATATCGAAACAGCTAGATTGGTTTACTTTAGCCACTTTCACATTTTTGACATACGCATATCGTTTTGAGGTAATGAGAATCTTTGTCCTATAAAAACATGCGGTTCGGGCAATTTACAAGCTGTAGTGTCTTTGAGACAGAAGTTTACAGAAATTAATATTCTTGCACTAGCATTACAGTAGGCATATTTATAAAATTTTAATTTATATTACGAAAAATAATATTTCTTTTAATGGAAAGTCTTGATAGCCACAACATGTTATAATGTGGAATTAGTACAAGTAGACTAGCTATTGTTGAAAGTCGTTTTCTCAAAGTGTGTGTGTGTGTATGTAAGTGTATGTATGTACGCTTCTGCAAACTTGAATGACAAAATCCATGGTAGTGACCCGTTTAGTTTTTGCAGGTTGCCTCGATATTTGAAATACATATGTTAAATATGTTAAATGATTAATGTGTACAAACGTTTATTTATAAAGAGCAACCCAGAGTTCCTTTAAAATTTTACAAAAGTATTTAATATATTTGTATTGATATACTTTCCTTTTCTGTTGCACACTGCATATGATATACCTTTAACATCTTAAATGCTATAGAACTATCTACATATACTCGTACATCGTCGACAAAAGAGTGTTTAGTTTAGTTTAAATATCTGTATCGTATACTTAATACACAACCCACAAATGTTTTCGTAACAAGTATTTAAGGACTACCAAATAATTGTAAATATATACGCATATCACATAAAAAATTGTAGGATAATGAATTTACACTTACGGGTATCGATATTCCATCGTCTCCCTTTAGGCCTCTCGGACCTGTAGGCCCAGTAGGTCCTGTGTAGCCTCTTGGTCCGACATCACCAGTCCTTCCTTCTAGACCAGGTTCACCCTTTTCACCTTTAACACCAGGAAGTCCTTCTGGGCCTGGAGTTCCCGGTTCACCTTGTCCTCCCGGCGGCCCCACAGGTCCTATTGCACCTCTTTCTCCAGGTCTACCGTCTGTTCCTCTAGGCCCAGCTGGGCCGTCGTAACCTCGGGGACCAGGTGGCCCAGCTGGTCCTACGCCGCCGGTACGACCACCTGGTCGGCCAGGTACACCTCTCAATCCTCTTGGCCCAGGAGCTCCATCTCTACCAGGTTCACCTTTACTACCGGGCCTACCAGACAGACCTGCTATACCATCTAGACCTCTATCTCCTTTTTGACCCGATGGTCCTGGCGATCCATACATTCCATCTCGACCCTAGAGTATAGGAATACATTTTTTTAGTAAATTTTTTTGGTACAAGGAGTTCTAATTTCCTTTTCTACCACGAATGAAATTTAATATTAACTGCCAATAATAGGATATTATAGTAAAATATGTTTATGTTACCATAAAAATTAAAGTGCTTAGAGTCATTCGGGGTAACTAAGAGCAGTGGGTAAGTGTGCGCAGGAGCTCTATCTCCGGAACGGATGAAGAGGGGTAGGCGGTTTGTTTGGATCACACCAAGGCAGTTGTTTAATTCCGAATAGTTCCTATTAGGCCCATGTTACACGGTCAACAAAAACAGTTTTTGAGTAAAAAAGGTTAACAAGTAACCTTTTGTTATAATTATTAATACAAAGATCGAACACTCAGTAAAAAATTCTTCGACACGGCCGGATTCGAACCGACGTCTTCTAGCTTACCATGCCAGACGCTATATCAACTAAGCTTATATGGTATAGCGTCTGCCACGGTAAGCTAGAAGACATCGGTTTGAATCTGGCCGGATCGAAGGAATTTTTCCTGAGTGTTCGATCTTTGTATTAATAATTATAACAAACTAGTGGAGTAATTTCACAAAAAATAATTGAATATCAATTCAATAAAAATGTAAAGTAACCTTTTGCTTAAAAATCTGTTTGTGTTGTAAACATCCATTTACTTTTGTATCTTAGAAAATATGTAGCACCTTTATTTTTTATCTCATAACAGTAAGTTGTAATTTTTTTCAATTATGGACATATTTACAATACGCTATATTTCTAAAAAAAGTTTCAGGTTATATTCAGTTCCAAATATATTGCTATCATTCATTTGCAATTCAATACTCTGGGGAAAGCGTGGAAGGGTCAGTGCGCGCATGCGTATTTTGCCCCGTCTGTACCATTTTCGTCCATTCATTTGTGCAATATTTTTAACATGCTTTTATTTTATATTTCAGTGCCTAGTCGTCATGACACTGAAATATACAAGAAAAAATCCGAACTTACACCAGTTTCTAAATTAATAAGATGTTAATAAAATATCATTTTCAATATTTTTATACTACACATTATCGTCGATGTTTTGTAGCAAAGGCGAAAGCGCCATTTCAAAATTTTTTCAGAGGAGAATGGTTTAGTTTATCACCATTGTTTTGAAATATTTACGTCCTTGAAACATATCTAGGTTTTTTTTAATAAAGAATAGTTGTATTATTATTATTATATTTGACCATGAGCAAGCAATGCTCTCACATACCCCAAGTGCAGTTGCTTACCCCATAAGGGTGCGCATAGATTCCCGCAACGCGAGTCAAGTGAACATATTTCGATTTTAGATCGTTTATTCTTGATAGGAAAAAGAAAACCGCGTGTTTTAAGTTTTTGTTTTTATTTCAATTTAGAGCCAAATAAATTAAAAAAAAATGATTTACTTGAAAGCAATAATGCCTTTGTGTTCCTAACTCTATTTTAAAGTTCGGTAAGCCCTAAATTACAAAAATACGTACACTTGATCCGAATGACTCTACGTATCTATCATATATAAGCACTTACATTTAAAAAGAGTTATGAAAGTCTTTTTAATGGGATCTGGAATTAAAGTCTTTTGCATGAGAAGCAAGGGATTTCTCAACTAGACAATTAAATTCATAGTGAAATAACGGAGAAGTAACGGACAAATTTTTAACGTAGAATTTCTATTACTCACTCGTTCGCCCGGATTTCCTCGTATTCCTTTTTCTCCTTTAGAACCCATTAAGCCTGGCACCCCTGGTTCACCCATAGGGCCCATATCCCCTTTGTCGCCTTGTCTGCCTGGTTCTCCTTTGTCCCCTTGGGCTCCCGTTTCACCCTGTATTCCTTTGGTAATAGTGTCATTAACAGCCACTGGAAGTACGTATGGGCAACTTTTTCCCTTGCTACCAATATCTCCTCTGTCTCCCTTATCACCGATTACCGATGCTCCTTTGTCACCTTTGGCGCCTTTATCACCTTTCTCACCCACTGGTCCCTGTAAAGACAATAGCTCTAAAATATAACATTAATATAATATTCGAGCATCATCATAAGCGAAGATAAGAAGTTTCCACTTCTTTCAAATCCCAGTACGCACATACATGCTTTTATACACAGCTTTTAACAAGCAATTAATTATGCAGTATGTTTATGCCAGCTACTTCGTTAAAATGTTCATTATGATGTCTTCATAAAGTATTTCTTCATGAATTAAAGGATTTTGTGTTTACTCTTTACCATGGGTCCAGTGACTCCTTTAGGTCCAGGCAAGCCAGGAGGACCGGTAGGCCCAACAGGTCCTGGAGATCCGTGCGTACCATCGTTTCCGGGTTCTCCTTTCTGTCCTTTCTCATATCGGCCACGAAGTGCTTCTTCTCCCTTATCACCCTTTTCTCCTTTCAAACCAGGGAAACCACGGGGGCCCTGATTTCCTTTAAACCCCATTGGTCCAGGTTCACCCTTTTAAAAAATTTAGGTTGTTAAAACTATTTATACAGGAACATTTACATTATAGGTATAAATAAACACAAATAAGCCAGTATAAGAGATAAATGCGGTATATACATTTAAATTATTCAAATTAATTTAGTTTAAGTAATTCAAGTCATTTTAATTTATCTATCAGAAAATATATCCTCTTCAACGCTTACGTCTGTGCCATTACAGCCATCTCTACCAGGAATACCAGGAGTGCCTGTTTCACCTTGAGGCCCTGGAGGCCCCGTTAAGCCAGGATGACCTTGTGAGCCAGGTTTTCCTCTGTCGCCTTTAGGTCCTCGAGGTCCTTGAGGTCCCATTTGACCTTTTTGTCCTTTGGGACCCTGGATACCTTCTACGCCTTCGTGTCCGGGAAGACCTCTTGGACCTTGAGGTCCTGGTGCTCCGGGAAAACCCTATAAAATAAACATTATGTTATGCGCTACATGATCCCATTTTGTTAATATTCTTATGTTCCCAAATATTGTTAAAAATACATACCCGGTTTCCTTTTTCTGCGAAGCATTTCGGCACGCAACATCCAGTTGCCGTACAATTACGATCGACAGCAGTGGTGCGTTGTCTAGTGACAGGGTCATATGCGGCATAACGATTGAAGTTGAAGCCTGAAGGTGGCGACTGTGGATATACGGGCGACGGTCTCGAGGTCTGCCACGCTGTCGGTTGCGGCGGTTGTGGCAGATCAAGCCTTCCCGACAAGCCATACGAGTTAGTATCGTAAGTCCGCGGCTCCGTATCCGCATCCGGCCACCGATTTCCGTTGATTTCATTCCATGTATATCCATCGTCTTGCTGTAAATTTTTGCACTGTTTAGATACTGTTGCATTACATTACTATAAGATACAGATGAGAACTAAAGCCTTAGCCTAAATTTTACCAACTACTGGACTTTTGACGCTCTAAGATACTAACGAAATATTTTTACAGTAATGCTTTTCTTAGAAAATTGACGCATTTCTTAAATTTACTTGTTATTTAAAATTATTTCTCGGTTGTTACTCCTAATATAAGTTTTTTGTAACTACACTTACTTAGTTTTTAAAAGCACAATGAAACCTGTGGAGAGTTTAGTGCTTGTAATTCTATCCCCAAACATTTGAATAAGAATTTCAGTTATGCGACAGATATAATTCTACTATTGCATTATGAAGGAAGACGAACGCTTGATATTTGATACCTGCTTATGCTACGTTAGCTTTGGACGCCTATGTTAGGGATGGGTATCGATTAATCGGTTAATCGGAATAATCGATGTTGTGTGGAATAATCGATGTCATCTGATTCGATTAATCGGAAAATCGATGATTTCATCGATACAAAAATCAATATTTTTGCTAAAAAAATAAAACTATAAACATGTTACAATTTCGAAAAAAAAGTCATTGTATTTAATCGATTTTCGAAAAATTTGACTTGCGCGCAATACCGTGACACCAAAAAGATGGTTTACATAAGCTAATCGTATAATTTGTCTTCACTTGAAAAAGTTATAATTAATACTGGTGTGTATACTACTATACTATTATAATTTGTGTAATTTGAAATAAGGCGGGAAATGAGGGTTATGTTACGAGGTTCCTATGCATGCCGCCTGAGCTGCCACCTGTGTTTTCGAGGTTATTCTGAAAACCCTGGTACTATTGGCTTAGACTTATTGGAGTATTGCTAGAGAGCTAGAGCTCTCTCTATACCTACTTAGTTTATTTTAACTTTACAAATCAGGTAAACAAAGAATCAGGTTTTGTAAACCGTAAGAGATGAAGAAAGTGACGTTATAAAATTTGACTTACACAGCTAAAAACATTCACTAACAAGAATATAGAATATAATATAGAAGTAATGCCACCAATTAAAATACATATTTATATTTTGTCAATTAATCGATTTTTTAAGCTATGATTAACTGGTACCTCGATTGTTTTGTTGAACAAAACATGTGGATGTCAATAATCGATGTATTGTTGGTCTATACCCATCCCTAGCCTATGTTACTTTTCAAACGTATCACGATTATTGCATCCCATCTGCATCGCCTAAATTTCTATACTAAGTTTATTCGGAAGAAATTACTACTTAGTAATAAGGCCACCTGTTATACATTAGCTTCTTCTATTATACTTAAATGATGTTTGTGTTGTCATTGTAACTTTAATAAGCAGTATGAAACATTTTATTCATTCATTTAGTACAGAACCCTAATTAATATACAAACAACAAATTTCATAAAAATGTGTTGGTTACACTTTTATGAAATTTGTTGTTTCTTGTAAGCAATGGTATATTATACTTGTTGTAAGTACATATATTAATTAGGTGTTTACAGTGGACAAAAATATATATGTCCTGAATTGTGCTGTCATCGCATACCTAAGCCTACCCTGGTACCAGCAGATATGTACAAGGTGCCAGGTCGGGACCCGCGACAAGGTGCCAGGTCGGGACTGAACGCGGGATGGCTCATAAGGTCAACGTTGTCCACCTTCAAAAATTCATTCGTCTGTCTGGCCGTGTGAGAACTGGCATTATCGTGGTGCAAGACGATACGGCGTTTACGGTTATTTTTACGGAGTTTGTCAATAACTTCCGGCAAACAAATAGTCGTGTACCAATCACTATTTACGGTACAACGTAGCCACGTGTCCAGTTTTATTAAAATTAAACAGAAGCAATCATCCGCTTAGAGGCACTTTGCACGCGCGGCACTTTGGTGGGTTTCGGCTCATCTTGAAAGACCCATACGCTCGATTGCTGCTTTGTTTTGAATCGTAACTATAAATCCATGTTTCGTCACCTGTTACTATGTCCCACACCTAATTTGACGCCCCTTCGTTGAATCTGGTAAGCATGGCATTACACCAAGTGACGCGATCCGTTTTTTGAGCCTCAGTGAAATTGTGTGGGATCCACGGAGAGCACAGCTTTTTCACACCCAAATGTTTGTGTAGTATTGATTGTATTTGACTCATGCCTATGCCTAAGGATGCCAGAATCTCATGGTATGTCACATGCCTGTCTGTTTTGATCATACGGCGCACAGCATCGATGTTTTTGTTGTTCACAGCAGTGGACACACACGACCGCGTTTGAATTCTGCAAACCAGCTATAAATAGTCGTCTTGCATGGTGCTTCATCGCCAAAGTTTGAAGCCGAGGGAAGCTCCACTGAGCTGTTAAATCACACTTAAAGTCGAAGAAAATCATACTACGAAATTTTTCACGAGTTAAATCCATGTTAAATCCACGGTGACGTAGACAACCAATTTCTAAAATGACGCCACAAAAGACAAGTGACAGTCAGATGAAACAAACTGTATTCTACAGCCAAAGAGTTCCATTTTCAAATGTTGTAATTACTTTTTAAATATTGTTTATGTAAGTGGCCAGTTCTGGAAACTTATAGTGCGCCCTATGAATCTGCAGTTGTTTGCGTGCCACTAAAAGCGCTAAATGGCACAGGACAAGGGACCTCTATCTTTCTAGATGTTCCATATAACTAATCGAATGGCAGAAAAACAAACGAACAACTTATTTTTTAAAAGAAATGTCATGTCATAGCTGTATTATATCAAATCGAAACCGCGTTAATTAGTTTGGTGACTCCCTAAGTTGGAACTTCGATATCCGTTTAGCTGCATGTCACGGCTGTTTTACCTAGAAATCACTATTAATTTGTTGTTAGTTGCCCAAATCTACCGTAGATAGATAAAATAATTTAGAATTTTGTAGTTTAAAATGTGGTTTATATGGGATGGTTAAAGTTTAAATTTGGTGCAACTAGATCAAGTAAGCTATCAATGTGAAAGAGCTTTGTTTGGACATTTTTTTTTCCAAATATTAAATCGCATCAAAAATGTCCTTTTCCCGTATCTTCGACATTTGCCAACTGAAGAATACCAAATACATTTCTGACACGTATATAGTCAATTTTTGAACATTGAGGTACCGCGTGGAAAAGCTTTCGTAACTTTTATTTTATTATTCTATATCGCATAGAAAGCACATTCCTCTGCCTATTTTCAGAGACGCGATACAGGTTAGCTTGATGTCACTGCTAATAAATAATACCCAGTCCAACTTATGTTAAAAGTTGCTCTCAAAACATATTTTTTAAGGAAATGATAATTTTTTGCCAGTAAAATGTCTAATTCATTTTAATAAATACTAAATAAAAAGACGTTGTGAATGGAGTGACACGGTGAAAAGAGTGTGGTATGCTATTTATACCTATATTAAGTAAAAGGCAAAGGTGGTCCATTATAGTTTACATTAAAGGTATTTTAAAGATGTAACATTGCCACATTGTGGCTGGTTACTACAACAAAGTTTTTACCGAGATATCTGGATAATGGACAGATAATATATTTAATATTATACATAAAATACAATAAATTTAATAATAATCTAATATCAAATATTTGTATTTTATTTGGTCTAGTTATGGAAGTTGTAGCATATGATTGGTGTAAAGAACCCTCGGTTCGTTTGTTCTACTCACAATTCGTAGGTAATAAATTGAGATACACATTTTGGCAAAATTTGGAGTGAAAGTATTCAGTTTCGAATTTTCGAACCGCACCTAGTTTTTGAAACTAAAATTTCAGTTCATTGGATCACTTCATTTGTACACATGAAACGTCTTATGTGAACACGAATGCAGCAATCATAATAAAATTAATTTGTAAGGATCCAAAATACTTACTATTGATTTGTAGGGACTAAAAATTCGTAACCATAGTGCAAATTCACATTTGCAATCATTTATTAAAAAATATTATTATTTTAGGTATGAATACTAATCCAATTAGGTTTAAGTAGTTTTACACATTAGTTATTTATTAAATTTTTAGATATACCTAGTTATATAATAATATAGGAAACTATAAGTTTGCGCAATACCGACGCATTACATCCGAACGATGATAAACTTTGTCGGTCTGTGTGCCGTTGCGTTATGTTCTATGTAATTTATTCGTAAGAAATGCAATTGTGATTAAGTTATCAATTACTCATTCAAAGAGTGGTGGATATACACAAACATATTGTAATTATATTTTAATATTTTATAAGCACGTACACGATTTGTCGTCTGCATAATCTAAACGAAATAATCTAGGTACTCTGATCGAGATTTGGCAAAAAAATCGCAGTCTGTGTTTGGGAAAAATTGCAAAAAGACGAAAGTTAGCAGACGAACGAGTCAGCATACGAACCGCCGCGGTCACCCCCGCCGTCTCTCGCCCGTACAGCATTCCCCAATACCCAAGCAGTTTTTTAAACCGCGTAAATATTCGAACTCATTAATATTTAATCACTTCTATCAATAAAATACTCGTAATCAAAATCGAATTTATATAAATTTTATAACTCACCGTTCTTACCCCTGCTATAGATACCACAGCAGCCACCAACCTACAAAATTTATTTAGTTTAAAAAATAATATTCATCGCATTAATTTTGAAATACCGTTTACATTAATAGAATAATAAAAAAATTATTACTTTTGTACTACTATAAAATAATCACGTTGGAATATTTAAACAAAAGATGTTAGGAGTATAAAATGCGCAAAGCTCTTACCATAGTACGTGGACCGCCATGGCCCGGAGCGCGCTGCGCCTGTGTCCCGTGCACGCGCGCCGTTTGTGCCGGGATACTAAGGAGCGAGGAGTGCTCGGGCGAAGGCCTGCTAACCCCCGACCCCCTCCTCGACGGGCTGCGCGGGCGCTGCGCCCCAGCCCGAGGCGAGGGCGCGCGTCCAGTAGTGCGGCTCAGGCATGTCGGGCCCGGCCGCGGCGCGTGCGCGCTTTAACGTGCTCCACCTCGGCCCAGCCGTGCTACTTTTACTGGTCTACTATTCACCTTCCAGCACAGCTGTAAGTAACCTAGACTAAATTAAGACATATATATCTTTCGACTGTCGGAGAGATTTTGCTCATTTTTACATTAAAAAGACATCAACGCGCAAAGTCAGCGGCTTTTTTGCAATATTTATTTTATCCAAAATCTCTAGGTTCTTTCTGTTGCATTTGATTTCATCTTTGATAACATTCCATTTTAAATTCAATTAGTTTACGTTATCCTTTACTAAATTAACCCAGACACGCATTACTTAGACAAGTTACATAATAACAATATAGGAGCAATAGTTCGGTCTAAATAGTACGTTATGTATTAACACATTAAAAAGTCACTGAAGATGAAACTAAGTGTTTACGTCCCATAAACTATTTATTTGTGAACATCTGTCCGTCTCCTGTGGATATAGTGGTCCAATTGTACTACTTATTTGAGCCAAATTTTTAAACACAGCTACTTGTACTGTATATTTTAAAACGCTGACATGTGAATAAATGCAATATCTTCCTCGAAAAAGGTCAGATATATTATTCAGGTCCAATTAGGTGTCATTTTAATTCTACTCAGTAAATTAGTAGGCGTATACTGTAGTGAATATGTAATGAGGTACATAACGCAATGTATTTAGCGGCATAATAAGTCAGACAGGACGTAGTAAACAAAACTGACAAATTTACGTTACGATACTGCAGCTGAAATCTATAAGGCATCAAGAAATATGAAACGAGCATACTTTATCCATATGTATTTTTGAAAACTTAAGAATTTTATTAATTGCTACTAAGACCTAATGTAGCAATCATGAGACGTTTTACATAAAATTTCCTGCCAAATTTAGTAACACTAAATAAAAATCTTTATAAGTCTTGGTGGTAAGCTGGTATACCTAACCTCGTCACATAAACTGCATTGTATCCATGCATATTACTATGTATAGATAGATAGACACACACAATCTATATAAATTACTATGTATATACACAGCTTACATATTATGAAAATAAGTGGTTTTAGTATCATTAGGTTTGTGTATCATTAGGTTTGAGTAAATAATTTCTTTATACAGTCGTGACATTCTGGTTTATTTAGAAGAGAAGAACTCTACGTTTAGGTAAATTATGCAAATGAAGTAAAAATAAACATAAAACCTAATAACTGTTTATACATCCTCAAAGAACACCACCGACAAACCCTTACTTAGAATGTACTATGAAAGTTTAATATCGATAGTTTTTTAAGCAAACATAAACCCTAATTTTACTTGCAGTTGTTTTTTTTTTCAGTTCTAGTTCCACATGCAAAGTTCAGTAAGCAATCTATGGGTTTCAATTTAAAAGAAACAATCGTAGCAGTAACTGACATACTTACCTTTTATTTATTAGCAGTAACATTTGTTTGGGTCATAGAGGGACTATCGGACTTCTCAGTTGTAAATTATCAAGACATGCGTGAAGCAAGCAGCTTTTGGATTTACTACCTTTTCATTGAAAAAATACTCGTATATTGCAAAAATTGATACCATGTAACATAAGAAGCAGCCCAGTGACTTGGAACTTCTATTGACCATGTAATTAATGAACGATAATAATTAATCGTCCTAAGTTACAATAACCGTGTGTATATATATGTATACAAAGGTAAACCGGGAATTAGTTGCTATGAGATTATTACAAGCACATGAACAATATACAGGACAGTTCTTAGTAGCAGTAGACCTCCTTGTGAAAGAGTTCGTCCAGGCTTGTACTGCCACCCTACCTTTTTCAGTATTACTGTGGGCCGGTTTTTGAAGGGTAAGGGTGCTGGTGAAATTACAGGCACATGGGACTTGTCAGCTTATGTCTCAGGGTGACGGACGCAGTGGCAGTGCCCCTCCGATCTTTGTGATTTAAAGCTTTGAGTGGCACTGCAACTGTTATGGACAGTCGTGTAGCTTACCATCTAGCGCACGACTTGTTCGTCCCGTCACTGAATATTATAAAAATAAAATAAAACGACGTTACAGAGCTCGGAACAATGATTGCTGACAAGTTTAGGGACAATATTCCAGAGATGGCTGAAGCAATTTTACTTCAAAATTATGTCTGCATACACAGTACATACTTTTGACTAACGGGTACAAAATGCACAGTGTGACCTCAGTTCTTGTTTAGCGAATAACGACAAAACAGTTAGCGGCTTGTTAAAAAAAAAACGATAAGATACTATATGTAGGCAATTGCCACCATACAGTACAGAGGCTATCTATATAAGTATAACAAAATATTGATGTCATCGTTCCGGCCAATTATACGAATAATCAGTAAGTTCGTATAAAATATAAAACAGATAACATCTTGAGTATTTAAAAACTCAAGATGTTATGTATATAAATGAAGACGAAACAAAGACGTGACCTAAAAACAAAATTATAGAACATTACAAAAGGTAGTTGTTGTGAACTGTGTTGTGAACACATGACATGCGCCTAAGATTAAGATTTGTAATAACCATGATTGTCATGCTTGTATTATGACAGAATTTCACTAAGGCTCAATTTATATTGCGGCAGAACGGAATGGAAGCGAATTTTATAACATAGCATAATAAACTTTATAATCAATTGTGTAACGTACGCACTAGATACGAGACAAAATCTTCCGCGAAAAGCGCGAGCATGCGCGAGAATTCCGCGGAAGATTGATCATAAAGGTCATTATGCTATGTTACAAAAATTCGCTTCCATCCATTCCGCCGCAATATAAATTGAGCCTAAAAGATTATGTATACTAGAAAACATTACGTATAGTTCATTTTTATTTATTCATTAGCACACTACGTCTCCCGCTCTGATTAGCTTTACTCTACTTCAAAGGTTGTCTGGAAGAGATTGCTCTTAGCGATAAGGCCGCCTTTACCTACATTACTTTTAAGTTATTTATGTACTGTTTTTGTTCTTGCGTGTGAGCAATAAGTGTTTATCTATACTCGTATGTACATATATTACCACTTCTGTAATGATCTTTTTTCCGACGATGTTTATCATGACTGGATGTTAAAGTAAAGAACGTAATACCCAAAAAACATATCTTAATTATAACAATAGTAATTTATTTTACAACAATTATAACCCTTTTAATAAAAAACCGAGCTCAAAAGTTTGTTAATCACCTTTCCGTGTGTTCGTTACCGCGGTATCCTCAACGATAATTGAAACTATATGGAAGTCGTCGCCAAAACTAACCATATTCTTGTGAACCCAAACACAAGGTAACCTGTTGTATACTGTTAAGGAGTTCCTCCAATCATCTGTCATTTTTATCATCAGACCAGCTCTAGGTCATCATAACATTTTATTTTCATTGGAATTATACGTCTATAGATTATCTTGCACTAGTAAGTTGTATTTACCAGGATATCCAGACATATTTCTTTACAATTATTGCCAAGATTTGGCTACTCTCCCGTAAGAATACCTAAATTAAGCATGGAATGAGTGAGAAAGAATGAGAATTCCAAAGGGAAGTTTTATTGATAGGTATAAGCGTACATTCCTGATAAACTTTGGTTTACTAAGTTATTGCTTGATAAACGTAATAGTAACAATTTCACCGTTTGCAATAGTCTGCACATATATGTAAATAACAAAATAAATTTATCTTTATCTATGTGCCAAGCTTTAATGAAATTGGGTGACGGAAAGTGGGTGAATAGAGGCGCTGAGACGAGCCGTTCTGCAAGATCGTTCAAGAAGAACTTATACACTCTGCTAGCGACCTTAGAGAACGGGCTCGTCTCATAGCCACCTTTGAAAAGGAGTCTGTGTATAGGCTACACTCTCTCACTACTACTAAAAAGTGAGTCTCTCCCTCACACTGGCTGTCTGTCTTCGATTGGGGACAAGAACAGTCCACCCCCATCAATGCACGTGTGGTGATGCTGTTGACGAATTTGGCCACCATGGCCTCTCGTATTCTCGAAGCGCTGGCCGCATATCTCCACTCGCAGCGCTGAATAGCATCATCGTATGAGCCTTCACCAGCGTTAAGATACCGGCAGTTGTCCAGCCTAATTTGCATTTGCAGCATCTGTTGAAGTGACGGTAAGAAGCCTGACGGTATGACTGTCGGTCCATGGAAGCTAGGGAAACAGCTAGTCTGGAACGCAACCTGTGTGGACGCTGTGGCCAGAGCGGCCGAAAAAAGGCTCAAATATGCCAACCTTGCTCAGTCCTACAGCTTTCTGCCTTATGCGGTTGAAACCCTTAGGGCCACTGGCGAAACTTCTAGCGAACGATCTGTCGGGTCGCCTCGTGGTAGCCTCCAGTGTTATTATACTAGTAACTTGCGTCAATATAATAATGACATATTTGTTTTTCACGTACAAAAGCAGCATAATATGTTAGTAGCTAATTAAATGTGACTTCACAAGACGATTTTGGAATATCGACCATTGATGTGTGGTAGATTTGAAAAGCCTGTTACAGGATGAAAGACTCTCTCCGTGGTTCCCTCAAACAAGAAAACTGACTGTACCACTGAAATTCACCCTATTTTACAAGTAAACATTTTTTAACAATTCAAATTCACGTAGTCATAATAGATTTCGAAATTGCATTATTTAAAGTGGTAGTACAACTATAGAGTTTTAATCGTGGCTGAGCGTTCAAAGATTACAAGTTACAACATATCCTAACAAATCGTAAAGTTTCTACAGAAGTGATCATACGAAAAAACGGAAACCCCAGACTCCGAAATTGATGCTTGTTACTGAGAAAAAACTCGCTGCTTTCAGCAACCTACACAATAGTATCGCTAACTGTAGATTATTATTATTAACAAAATAAAGACTTCCGATTATTCCGGCACAGTGGGTCAAAATAATAGCATTGCTTAATATAAATGATAGTCGCCAAGGTAATAAATACGATGTCACGGTAACCTTTGATCCATTAACTTATCATTCAAGTTTTTATATTAGTTAATATCAACTGGTAACGACAATTATTATCATCTCATGGCCTCGTGACCCAAAAATG